TTTCCGCTGCCGACGTGCGGGCGGACGGGCACATGGGCGTTTATCGGCTTCGCCCTCCAGGTTTTGAAGTTTCGCTGCTGCGGTACGCGCACGCCGTGCCCGTTCGATGGCGAATCCCACCGCGGCACCGTCCCAAGCACAGGTGATGATAGGGCCACGCCGATGGGACAGAGAATCCAGCCAAGGCGGTTGAGTGGGCTGACCGAGCAAGCCTTCTTCTTCTTTTCTTTTTCTTTTCTCTATAAAGGCAACATGCATGGACAGGGAAAAACAACCTAGAATATTTCTGCGTCCAAACGGATCTAGAACTCATGTTCTCCTTTCGGAAATATACAACCTTATCGTGCCTACTTATGGTGACTTTGAGGCCCCGTTTATAACGGATGAAAATAAGGATTAAGGACACGTAAAACGAAAAAAAATTAGCATATTATTAATTGAGTTTTAATTATTATACAATTTAAAATGGCTTTATTGATGTTTTAGAGTAACATTTATATGAAAAGTTTTTGCACGAAACGTATCGTTTCATAGTTTAAAACACATGCTAACAGAATTGTTGTAAATTTTGCGTCTTAATCAGAAAAATGTTCAAGAATATATGTATATAGTACTGTAAAATAATTTTCTTTTTGTCTAGAATATATATTGAATCGGTTACTTTGCATGGACCATATTTTTTTCATAGTGTGAAGTGAAAAGGAAGGCATTGAAATCACTATTGCGTCCGGTGTATGTGAAATTTTGTGTTGCTTTCAACCGAAGTAGATTTTATACTAGTTTCCAATTGTTTTCAACAAGTCATGTCCGTAATTAATATTTTCTCGTCAGGTTTTCACGAAGCCGTGACTTTTGGATATATGAAAGCTACGAAGAAACCAATTCCGTACTCGTTAAAGAAAAAACATTTTTCTCATTCTCTCTCTACAAGCAAAGATTTCATCCTACTTGTATATATGTCCATTCTAGCCTTTAGGGATGACAATGCCCACATCCCTTTCCTATGGAAATTCTCCTATTAGGAAAGAGGGATGGTAGCCATGTGGTATCTATACATGTTTTAGCGTGCTATGATTAGTGAATGTGGACAATAATGTATTCTTGTCATATGGATTAATAGATATCTACTAATATATTGACATAATATATATCAAAGTATAAATATGTTTTTAAGCGGGTAAGGAGCTATGGGAGGATGTTCCCATTGCAGTTGGTGGGGACGGGAATAAAGATGGGGATGCATTCCCTGGTGGGAAATATCCCCTTGTCATCTCTAATCCATTTTGATTCGTCATTTCGACCGCTCATAGTCGGGTATAAGATACTTTTACATTATACATGATGATGGAGTCGGGATATTAGAGCTTCGATACTAGTGATTTTAATATGAATTTAGTGAGCTCACAGATTTGTCGCCGATTTCCACCCTTTAAGCATGTGTTAGTGGTGCACTCAGGAATGTGTGATGCTTTTATGCAAAATCAAAAACTCATATATACAAGACATTACATCACTTTATGCAAGTTGTTTTTTTTATGAATTGACTATTTAATGTACGCTTTCAAAACAACTTCATTTTTTACCAATCCGACATATACCAATAAAAAAGAGTAAATATTATCATTTTTTTCAAATCCTGATGTAGTTATTTATCAACTTTTCTACTTTAATGTATACGTGTTTCCCACCTTCACATACACCAATGCAATAGTAAGTTGGAGGGGAGTAATATTTCTTTTTGTTAGCAGTCTCGAATATTGAAGGATCTATGATCCGTCGTAACCAGGACAAGGCATCAATTTGGCATACTACCTTCGTCCCGAAATAAACTTAACTCCTAAAGTTTAAAATTTATTCTAAAATAAACCAACTTATACTCTTTTATCTACCATTGGTTTCCAAATTTAGAAATTTTATTTCTTCAATATCTTTTCATCTACCCATTCACCAATATAACTTCATAATTAGAGGTATTTTGGTCATTTGTATCTCTTCTTAAACCCACCTTGAAAATTTAGGGTTTGAGTATTTGTGGGACATAGGGAGTACATGAAACGTACTGTGCTGTGTGGAAACGGACATGCGTGGAGGAAGTGTCGATCCGTATTACAGGCTTGTGGACTGGAAGTTGTATATGCTCACGCGGGTTCGCTCATGGACTTTGGGAGTTTGGATGCGGCCGCACACGGTGTTTGTTAATGCGAAAAGAACCAGCCAGCCGCCGGCACTCAAGATGAAGTTCAGAGCAAGTTTAACAGTATATAGCTAACTATTGGTTCATATTATTTATAATTTATAGTCAATTAATAGTCAATTCATATAATAGTTACCTATAAAATTACTATATAATTAATGTCTGATCCTATCTGTTATACACACACATGCATTTTAAAGTCCGTACTACAGCTGGTTACAAATCTGTAGCCACATTACTTTTCTATCTTCTTTTTTTATCTCCTTAAAATATGTTTATAACTGGTTTATAGTCTGCTAATGTACTGTTCCTATGATACTAGTATAAGACGGGAAGAACAAGTGGTTTAATTAACCCTTTATGTTTACGTACCGTGAGAGAGTACGCGTTCGGCAGGAATTCACGTGAAAAAATAAAGGCGACTAGGCGAGGAATTCACTGGAAAGGCGATTGCAGCAGGAACCTTTCGATTTCTTTTCTGATAAATAATGGACCTTTCAAATTCGTATGAATTGTACATTCACGTCTGTGTGACCGTTGCATCATCAGGGTTGAAAGGGACGACGAATCACAAGTTTTCCCAACCTCTAGGGTGTAAACACGGTCTTGTTGGTTGGTTGTTTCGGTGTCGCACTATTGGATATGGATACGGTACTAGGACGGGATTATGTCAGCGATATTTTTTTTCACATTATGTTTGGTATGATGTACTACATGATACACTGGTGGAGAAATCATCTTTGACCGGTCGACTAAATTTTATAATAGTCCCGGTTCCATTAAAAGCCGGGATTAAAAATGATTTTTAATCCCGGTTAAAAAAATTGATCTTTACTAAATATGATTTTTAGTCCCAGTTCATCCACTGTCAAAGGCATGTCAGGGGACCGAGGATCTTTACTTAAGTACCACTTTAGTCCCGGTTGATAGTTTTAGGGGGTGTTTGGGAGAGAGCCCCTCTCACAAAACAATAAGTCCCGACTCTCTCCCAAACACTCCCTTAGATCTTTAGTCCGGTTGGTTACCAACCGGGACTAAAATTCAACATAGTATATAATCCCTAATTCTCATCCTCTCCTCCACAATCACAACCACTTCCTCACACACAGATCGATCCTCCTATCTTCTCCCCCTCCTCCCCTCTCCTATCTTACACAGATCCTCCCCTTTCTCATTCCTTCCCCCTTCCCTTCCTCCTCCCTCCCCTGGAGACGGATGAGGCCGCTCCTCCTTCCTTCCCCTTCCTTTCCTCCTCCCTCCCCTGGAGACGTATGAGGCCGCGCCGCACGGACGCGGTGGATGGACGGACACGCGGCGTGCGGCGCAGACGTGCGTTGCAGGGGAGCACATGCGCACAAACGTCCTCCCTCCCCTAAAGTTACTTGTTCTCTCTTTTTTTTTGATATTTTGTGATTCACTGAGATGTAATTTTGTGATTCATTGTATGGATTTGAGATGTATAATATGTGATGTATTTGATTTGTATGTAAATTTTTTAGGATTTGTGATGTTTTAGATTTGTGTGTATAATAACTTTAAGATTTGTGATGTGGATTTGGGATGTTACTTTATTTGGGGATTTGAGGTTTGATTTGGGATGTGCATGCCATCCGATTCGTGAGAAAATAAAAAAGTAACAAAAAAAAAGAAAAGGGGACCATCCGGTATTGTCCCTATCCTCTCTTTATTTACCAACCGGGACATCTTTACTCCCGGTTATTTCACCCGGGACTAAAGATAGCGATCTTTAGTCCCGGATTCGTAGTCCCGGTTGGGAAACCGGGACTATGGGGGGTTACAAACCGGGAGTGAAGACAATTTCTCCACCGGTGATAATTATCTTGGGTAGATTTTGTCTAGAAATCTGCTTTTGAAATACTTTATAGAGTAATATATATCATTTTCACTCTAACCTCAAAACCGCTTATATTCTACTCCGTTTATTCACACTATAAGATGTTTCGGCATATCCATTTCTCATCTAAATTCACTAATATATATATATAAATTGGACACTTATATGGAACATATACATACGTCCTTGCATTAATCTATTTACAGTCCAACACATTATGTAACATGAAATCGAGGAATTATTCAATATTTTATATAATCATATGATCAGAAAAAACAAATACATATCCTCTGACGCGTAAGAGTATATTTCAGTGTGTAACTGATGGTTACTGATTACCTTGTTTTTTTTTAAAAAAATCCCTCCATCTAGAAAAGACGACATTTTAAAACAGGTAGTAATAGATGGAAAGTAAAATGTTAGGATTTGAAAATGCAAAAAAACATTAATAGAACTTTTATGAAAAACTTTTATATAGTTGTATTTTAATACTTTTTGTAAAAATAAGTTTGAAAGTAGTGACAAAATACCAAAAAACACCACCATTTAGAGAGATGGAGGTAGCAAACAGGCTAGTGCACCAACAATTATAGCTAATGGTTGTGCGAATGACCGTCTTAATTTAAAGCCATACTTTTCCTTAATGAACCACTATATTGACCGCAAAACGTGTTTTAATGGCGCATTCACTGATGATAGCCATCTTAATCGACCACGATGATGTCCAGAGAGGCGTACTAATCCTTCTGATATTTTTTTTCTCAGAAAATAATTATCGTCACCTATAAACTGTAACAAATAAAACGTGGGATCTCTATACATACACGCTTATCGCAGAGAAGAAAGATACTTACGCGCCACGCGCACAAGAAAAATTTACCCCGGATAAAAGGGGCAACAGCTAGTAGCTAGTACTACTTCAGAAGATCTTTTTTTTACACGAGTGGCAGTTCTCGCCATCCTGCGCCATATTTTGCATTTTCCACCCCGTCAGGCAAGCGCACGCGTCCGGCATGCTCGTCCTCTGTTTCTCACGCGACCCTCCGTTTGGGCTCCTCCGCTCCGCCTCCGTCTTCCGCTTCCGCCCCTCCATCTCCTCCTCCTTCCCCACAACACCAGCTAAGAGAGAATTCAATTTTCAAACCAGCCCCAAGGTCCAAAACCCAGCTCACCTTCCTTCCTCCCTCCCTCACCGCCGGCTAATCCGCCCCCAGATCTAGCCCTAAAACCCAAATGCCACTATGACGACGCCGCGGGCCTCCCAGCGCCGCGGCGGCGCGGCCGCGGGCGGCGCCTCACCGGCGGCGGAGCCGTACAACATCATCCCCATCCACGACCTCCTCGCGGAGCACCCGTCGCTGCGGTTCCCGGAGGTGAGGGCGGCGGCGGCAGCGCTCCGGGCGGTGGGGGGGCTCCGCCCGCCGCCCTACTCGGCGTGGCGCGAGGGCCAGGACCTCATGGACTGGCTCGGCGCCTTCTTCGGGTTCCAGCGGGACAACGTGCGGAACCAGCGGGAGCATCTGGTGCTCCTCCTCGCCAACGCGCAGATGCGGCTCTCCTCCGCCGACTTCTCCGACACGCTCGAGCCCCGCATCGCGCGCACCCTCCGCAGGAAGCTCCTCCGCAACTACACCACCTGGTGCGGCTTCCTCGGCCGCCGCCCCAACGTGTATGTCCCCGACGGCGACCCGCGCGCCGATCTGCTCTTCGCGGGGCTCCACCTGCTCGTGTGGGGGGAGGCCGCCAATCTCCGCTTCGTCCCGGAGTGCCTCTGCTACATCTACCACCACATGGCGCTCGAGCTTCACCGCATCCTCGAGGGCTACATCGACACCTCCACGGGCCGCCCCGCCAACCCCGCCGTGCACGGCGAGAACGCCTTCCTTACCCGCGTCGTCACGCCCATCTACGGCGTCATCCGCGCCGAGGTCGAGTCCAGCCGGAACGGCACCGCGCCCCACAGCGCCTGGCGAAACTATGACGACATCAACGAGTACTTCTGGCGCCGCGACGTGTTCGACCGCCTCGGCTGGCCCATGGAGCAGTCGCGGCAGTTCTTCCGCACGCCTCCTGACCGCAGCCGCGTGCGGAAAACGGGCTTCGTCGAGGTCCGCTCGTTCTGGAACATTTACCGGAGCTTCGACAGGCTGTGGGTGATGCTGGTGCTCTACATGCAGGCCGCAGCCATCGTGGCGTGGGAGAGTGAGGGGCTGCCGTGGAGGAGTCTGGGTAATCGGAACACGCAGGTGCGGGTTCTCACCATTTTTATCACCTGGGCCGCTCTCCGCTTCCTTCAGGCGCTACTGGATATTGGTACACAGCTCCGGCGTGCTTTCAGGGATGGCCGCATGCTTGCTGTGCGCATGGTGCTCAAGGCCATTGTGGCAGCTGGCTGGGTTGTGGCGTTTGCGATCTTGTACAAGGAAGCCTGGAACAACAGGAACAGCAATTCACAGATTATGAGATTCCTGTATGCAGCAGCAGTGTTTATGATCCCAGAGGTCCTTGCCATTGTGCTATTTATTGTGCCGTGGGTGCGGAATGCATTGGAGAAGACAAACTGGAAGATATGTTATGCTCTTACATGGTGGTTTCAGAGCCGAAGTTTTGTTGGCCGCGGTTTGCGTGAGGGCACCTTTGATAATGTCAAGTATTCTGTCTTCTGGGTGCTTCTGCTTGCTGTAAAGTTTGCGTTCAGCTATTTTCTCCAGATCAGGCCTCTCGTGAAACCTACACAGGAAATATATAAGTTGAAAAAGATTGATTACGCTTGGCATGAGTTCTTTGGCAAGAGCAACCGATTTGCTGTGTTTGTATTGTGGCTTCCTGTGGTGTTGATCTATCTCATGGATATCCAAATTTGGTATGCTATCTTCTCTTCACTGACGGGTGCATTTGTGGGGCTATTTGCACATCTGGGGGAGATCAGGGACATGAAACAGCTGCGTCTTCGGTTCCAGTTCTTTGCAAGTGCAATGTCATTCAACATTATGCCAGAGGAACAGCAGGTGAATGAACGCAGTTTCTTGCCCAACCGGCTTCGAAATTTCTGGCAGAGGCTACAGCTACGTTATGGCTTCAGTCGATCATTCCGGAAAATCGAGTCAAATCAGGTGGAGGCACGGAGATTCGCTCTTGTTTGGAATGAGATAATTACTAAGTTCCGGGAGGAGGACATTGTTGGTGATCGCGAAGTTGAGCTTCTTGAGCTCCCACCTGAGCTGTGGAATGTGCGTGTAATCCGCTGGCCATGTTTCTTGCTCTGTAATGAGCTATCACTTGCACTTGGTCAGGCAAAGGAGGTAAAAGGACCTGATCGCAAGCTTTGGAGGAAGATCTGCAAGAACGATTATCGTAGATGTGCAGTGATTGAGGTATATGATAGTGCAAAGTACTTACTGCTTAAGATAATCAAGGATGATACTGAGGATCATGGGATTGTGACACAATTGTTCCATGAGTTTGATGAATCCATGAGCATGGAGAAGTTCACTGTGGAGTACAAGATGTCTGTACTGCCAAATGTGCATGCAAAGCTTGTTGCTATATTGAGCTTACTTCTGAAGCCTGAGAAGGACATTACCAAGATTGTCAATGCTCTGCAGACTCTCTATGATGTTCTGATTCGTGACTTCCAGGCTGAGAAAAGGAGCATGGAACAACTGAGGAATGAAGGTTTAGCACAGTCAAGGCCTACGAGGCTTCTCTTCGTGGACACTATTGTTCTGCCTGATGAAGAGAAGAACCCCACCTTCTATAAACAAGTAAGGCGCATGCACACAATCCTGACCTCAAGGGATTCTATGATCAATGTCCCAAAGAACCTTGAAGCTCGTCGAAGGATTGCTTTCTTCAGTAATTCGTTGTTCATGAACATACCACGGGCCACCCAGGTGGAGAAGATGATGGCCTTCAGCGTCTTGACGCCATACTACAATGAAGAGGTGTTGTACAGCAAGGACCAGCTCTATAAGGAGAATGAAGATGGCATCTCAATCCTGTACTATCTGCAACAAATCTATCCTGATGAATGGGAGTTCTTTGTAGAACGTATGAAGCGTGAGGGGATGTCTAATATCAAGGAGCTGTACAGTGAGAAGCAGAGGCTGAGAGATCTCCGGCACTGGGTTTCATACAGGGGGCAGACACTATCACGTACTGTGAGGGGAATGATGTACTACTATGAAGCTCTCAAGATGCTGACATTTCTTGATTCTGCATCTGAACATGACTTACGGACTGGATCCCGGGAGCTTGCTACTATGGGCTCATCAAGGATAGGATCTTCGAGACGGGAAGTGGGTTCTGATGGGTCAGGATATTACAGCAGGACATCTTCGTCACGTGCATTGAGCAGGGCAAGCAGTAGTGTAAGCACCTTATTTAAAGGCAGCGAGTATGGGACTGTCCTTATGAAATACACTTATGTGGTTGCATGCCAGATTTACGGTCAGCAGAAAGCTAAGAATGACCCTCATGCTTTTGAGATTTTAGAGCTAATGAAGAATTATGAAGCACTACGTGTTGCCTATGTTGATGAAAAGAACTCCAATGGTGGTGAAACAGAATATTTCTCTGTCCTTGTGAAATATGATCAGCAACTGCAGCGGGAGGTTGAGATTTATCGTGTTAAGTTGCCTGGACCACTGAAGCTTGGTGAAGGCAAACCAGAGAACCAAAATCATGCACTCATCTTCACAAGGGGTGATGCTGTCCAAACTATTGATATGAACCAAGACAACTATTTTGAAGAAGCTCTCAAGATGAGAAATCTGCTAGAGGAGTTCAATCGCCATTATGGAATTCGCAAGCCAAAAATCCTTGGGGTTCGGGAACATGTTTTCACTGGTTCTGTGTCTTCTCTAGCTTGGTTCATGTCTGCCCAGGAAACAAGTTTTGTTACTCTGGGGCAGCGTGTTCTGGCAGATCCACTGAAGGTCCGAATGCATTATGGCCATCCAGATGTCTTTGATCGTCTTTGGTTCTTGGGACGAGGTGGTATCAGTAAAGCATCAAGAGTTATAAACATCAGTGAGGATATATTTGCTGGGTTCAATTGTACCCTCCGTGGGGGTAATGTTACACACCATGAATACATCCAGGTTGGTAAAGGAAGGGATGTGGGGCTCAATCAGGTTTCCATGTTTGAAGCCAAGGTTGCTAGTGGCAACGGTGAGCAAACTTTGAGCAGAGACGTTTATAGACTGGGGCACAGATTGGATTTCTTTCGGATGCTCTCTTTCTTTTATACAACCATCGGGTTTTATTTCAACACAATGATGGTGGTGCTAACAGTCTATGCATTTGTATGGGGGCGCTTTTATCTCGCACTGAGTGGTCTTGAGGCTTTCATCAGCAGCAATACTAACTCCACAAATAATGCAGCGCTAGGAGCTGTCCTTAATCAGCAGTTTGTCATACAACTAGGCATTTTCACTGCACTGCCCATGATAATTGAAAACTCACTTGAACATGGGTTCCTCACTGCAGTTTGGGATTTCATAAAAATGCAATTGCAGTTTGCATCTGTTTTCTACACCTTCTCGATGGGAACGAAGACACATTATTATGGGCGGACAATTCTTCATGGAGGTGCAAAATATCGAGCCACTGGCCGTGGTTTTGTTGTGGAGCACAAAAAATTTGCAGAAAATTATAGGCTGTATGCTCGTAGCCACTTCATCAAAGCAATAGAGCTTGGTGTGATATTGACTCTTTATGCTTCTTATGGTAGCAGCTCTGGGAACACATTAGTGTACATCCTGCTGACAATTTCCAGTTGGTTTCTAGTTCTTTCGTGGATTCTTGCTCCATTCATTTTTAATCCTTCAGGATTGGATTGGCTGAAGAATTTTAATGATTTTGAGGATTTCCTAAACTGGATTTGGTTCCGGGGTGGAATCTCAGTGAAGTCAGATCAAAGCTGGGAGAAGTGGTGGGAAGAAGAAACTGATCATCTTCGGACAACTGGTCTGTTTGGGAGCATATTGGAAATCATATTGGACCTTCGGTTTTTCTTCTTTCAATATGCAATTGTTTATCGGCTACACATTGCCGGTACAAGCAAAAGCATCCTTGTCTACCTTCTTTCCTGGGCATGTGTCCTGCTGGCTTTTGTGGCTCTTGTGACAGTTGCTTACTTTCGCGACAAATATTCAGCAAAGAAGCACATACGTTACCGGCTTGTCCAGGCTATTATTGTTGGTGCAACGGTGGCTGCTATTGTTCTGTTGTTAGAATTCACAAAGTTCCAATTCATTGATACCTTTACCAGCCTTTTGGCTTTTCTTCCGACTGGCTGGGGAATCATATCTATTGCTCTGGTATTCAAGCCTTATCTGAGGAGGTCTGAGATGGTCTGGAGAAGTGTGGTTACTTTGGCACGCCTATATGATATAATGTTTGGAGTAATTGTTATGGCACCAGTAGCTGTGTTGTCATGGCTGCCTGGACTCCAGGAGATGCAGACGAGGATCCTGTTCAATGAAGCATTTAGTAGGGGACTACATATTTCCCAAATCATTACTGGAAAAAAATCACATGGAGTTTGAGGTATGATATGTGGTACATAATCCATCCCTAAGGTCAGCTCATTAAATGTCTGAAACTGATTGATAACCATTTACATCTTGAGGCTCCTTATCCCATTATTCTCCATTCATTGGTTATTACAATCTCAGTTATTATGTTTTAGTCCTGTTAGTTCTGTTTGAACATTTGATTGAATTGGACGTGTTCTCTAACATGCAGCTTATAAGCTAATAGGGTTATTAAATGATTTTCACTTGCGAGTGTGTTCACTTTTCAGTTTTATTAAGCTGTCTTTCATACTTTCCATACATTTGAGTCGATACTACTGGCAAACTCACACGAAACGTTGCACATATTACGATGTACTGATGTCCAAACTTGTTGGCTTGATGCTTGGTTATTAGCAAATTGTTTTTTTTAATTGGTTGTTTCCAAATTAAGAAAGTTGATCACTACTTTTATGGGCACTCAACCTGGAACATATGTGATAAATGGAATTAAGTGCCAACACTTCACTGCCTGGAGGATAAATTCATTTTGAGATAAATTTTCTTGTATTGCTCCAATTTAAGATGTGAGGCTTATCACGATAAAAGCTGGTTTGTTACTGCTTGTTTGTCAAGGATCATTTATGCAATCTGTCAGTTTTTAATGTTGCCTTTAGCACCTCTGTTGCATTTTTTTTAACTCTCTATTGCTAGTGCTTTTGCTAGCTTTCAAGTTATATCATGTCCCCTAGCAATGATCATGAACATTTGCAATTTTTTCTTTCAGCTGGATTCATCTTCCTTTTCTGAAAATGACCTGCCTTGATGGTATTCTATTGGAACGCTGCCCTTCTCAAGGTATGTTACATAGATTGCTCATGGTCAAATAGTTTTACCAAATGCTGTTTAAACTTAAACTAAAATTGAGATTGCTCCGCAGGTTCATACAGGCTTCCCAGTTTAGATTAGATGGATGCTAGTTCTATGTACAGGACTCTTTATCTTGATTCTTCTTAACTCAATTTACACATGGATTTCTATGGTAGAGATGATACAGTCGATCGAATGGGTTGTCAATTTGGTTTATATTCATGGTTCGAGATTTGGTAGCTTATTAGAAATTTTGTAGCGAAACAGAGCTGTACAAACTTTATCGTGAATGCACCTGCTTATGCCGTGCGTAGATCTCTTGAGGTGGCTGCCCTTTTTGTTGTAAAGTTTATTGTTTGCTGTTTGCGCATACCTGCACATACACCTTCATTGTGGTGAGATAGTAATTTTGTACTCCCAACTGTCATTAGAAATGCCATTTGTTGGCTCGTTCGAGCATCAGCATGCTGAATCCGAATGGTTCTACATCTATCTGGTCAATGTGTTTTGTTCCCGCTGATGGCTATGCTGCGCAGGTTTTATACAACGTACCGTTATCGTAAACCTCTTCCGAGGTATTTTGTCGGTTTTCATGAAAAACTGGTGAAATTTGGATAAATTTTGTCAATAAGCCGGGTTAAAACCTCAAAATCCCGAAAACCGCGGTTTTCTGACAGTGACACGTATAACTAAATCTTGGGCTTGCCCCGCCGCTCGTGTTCACAATTATGCGTGTGCGGAGCTGTCGTTTCCTCTTCTCAAGTCATTGCCTTATATTTTCCTCGTTTTTCAGCAACTAGATTGGTAAGATGCTCGTTTCACCACTGGAACGAGTTTTTTTAGTTATTTCGTGCTATTTTAAATTTCGTACTGATTGAGGCTATCCGCCGCTGCAACGATTGACAGCGGAAGTTATAATTTCCTTCTGCCCATCGACATCATTTGCTATCCACTAACCCTCGAAGCACAATAATGCAATCCAGCGATCTCTGTTATTTTATGCTACCTTCGCAGGGTTGAACTTGAACCTGAGGGCGCCCACGGAGCTAAACTGAGCCTTTTGACACAGGTAACGGCATTAGCTCTCACAGGTGCACTCACAAGTGATAAGGTTACAGTTCTCGAATGGAATTTTACCTCTAAGCACTTGAGATGCAGATGCAGATAACCAAGACAATTTGGCACTTCGATGATTTTGCCTACTCTATAAAGTACGAGATGTGATCTGAGTACGATATGCGCATATCCTTGGTCATCCACGTTGCAGGCCGGGTCAGTCAGCGCGGAATTCCGCGGCAGCCGTCGTCCACACAAAGAGCAACGCTATTGCGGAATCGCAAGGGCAGATCATGAAAAGAAAGTAGAGACTCGGTCCCAAGACTCCAAGCACAGCATTTTTGTGTGTTTCACATCAGTATCTGCCCAATTGCTAACCCTGGAGACATTTTTGCTGAGTTGATTCGATATAAACGGTGCTTCTGCATTTGCCTTTGCATTGTACAACATGTAACAGCTTTTATGTTTGTACAAACCAATGTTCCTAGACAGTATGGAGAGGTACAACAACGAGTTACAGTCAAGGTGTGGCTACCCGTTAATTCATAAAAAGCAATGGTACAGGGCAGCTGACATAAATTAAGGTGTGTATCATGCCCAAATCAACTTCGCGCTTTACTGAAGCGAAAGAACAACGGGGCACCAGAAGCACATCCATCTCACTGTTGACGAAATCAGATTCACCAAATCAGGTGGAACATTGCGCTTTTATGGGAACCAGCGAGAGGAAACATGCATCTAGCAAGAAAAACTAGGGCTACTTGAACAGTCAGTCTTCAAATAAAGTGGAGAGCACCAGGCCTTGCACAAAGGTTGCTCTGTCAGTGGCTTGTTTCCGCTTTTGTTCCCTTTCCTCACTCGTGAGCGATGAGTCGATCCTGCCATGGAAAAAATAAATATTTCATATTTGCATATCTCTTAAGGAGTTTATAAGCTGCTGGTTTGAAACATACTAACTGAGCACATATATAGACCTGAATGCTCTACTTTACCTAATTGGTCTGACCATCTGAATGCTAGGGGAAACGGCAAGTATTATGTAGACCTTTATAGTTGTGAATATGGTCAATCTTAGAGCTACTTAACAATTCATTGACATAATATGGACTGTTTTCATCAAATGTAAAAGCGTACAGCTAGTGAACAGTCTAAAAAATCACAAGGACACAACTGTTTAACTGGTGGTTGATAGTCTTTCTGACATATGTAACAAAATTGACAGTACCTGTCTCAGACAAGAAGGTAACTGTGAACAGTTTGTGAAAGTGCTAGCTGAAAAATAAATCATAGAGCATGGCAGGACATGGGAACTAATTGGCTAATACTCAATAGTGTTTGCTATGCTTTCCAGACAAACTAGGATGATTCTTGAAGTAATGCTGTTAGTAGTGGGGTTTTAGGTGGAAGAATATCAGGCCACTAATGTGATTCGGCTGAGCAGTGTAAATATATATACCTTGATTCCCATGGCTGAGCAGGAGTATCCTTATGAATTGATGTATCATCAGGAATAGGAACTGGTGCTTTTGATCGTTCCTCTGAATCCAATGTTGAGAAGCCCAGGCCAAACGAAGAAAGCAGAGGATCAGCAGAAATGTTTGTGGCAGTAGTGTTGCTTCTTCGCTGACGATGACCACCTCCTAGAAGTGCCTGTAACTGAGCATCCCGCAGATCTCGGCTCAGTAAAGAAAGTGCCTGGCTCTCGGGAATATCGAATCTGCGCATCCTGCGACCACTCTGTACATCACAAATAATTTTGAAAAAGGAATCAGAACATTCCTAAATAATTAAGAAAATTTATCAAAGAATTAGCATATGCTTGTGCAACAGAATAGGTATGGAAGGAGATTAACCTTGAACAAGTAACCATGTTGCATGGTGATATGATTTAACATATCTCTTGTAATCTTTTCGAAGCAGATGGGACAGGGCTGAAAGCAAAGCAAAGCAAATAAATCAGGAGAAGAACACAATGCACATTTTATATGCACAATATATGAACATAAGGTGCTGATTTAATATACTTTGAACCCAATGTGCTTATTTGATACTAAACTTAGCGAAAGATTCAAATAAGCACAATGGTTATTTCAGATTCTAGGATTTCTGCAGTTAACATCTCGAACTTCAGACGAGATTATAACATTAAAAGTATATATATGGCATTCTCAAACACCTCTGTTTCACTAGAATAAAATGAATCCAAATCTTAAAAATGGACCCCACACAACAGTTCGAGTCTTTTAAATCTAAATCACATTACCATCATTAACTTTTCTAGGTTATTTTGTGCCATTGCAAAATCAACTCCTGTTGCTGAAGTTAGATGAATAACAGAGGATTACGTTTTTAAGTCATGGTATTCATGAACATTTAGTTTATGACAACTGAGCAGCTGTCCACCAAGAGTAGGGTGCACAGTCGGCGCAGTGACATAAGTACTATAGTGGCAATCAAATAAAAAGGAAATTAGCTACCTTGTTTACAGAAGTAGGCCTTGAAATAGAACACACAACTACAAGCTAGAGCAGTCAACTACAGAAGTGAACAATGCTGGCTACTGATTTAAAACCTTCAGTCAAGCATAATCTACAGTTCTTATAAGAAATATATAATTATCCTTGCCCTTAAAACTACAACACAACTTCCCTACCTACGAATCACAAAATCACAATTTCCCGGTCCAAATCGCTAGTGTTTTCAGCCAAGTTCTGAATCCATAAGCTTATGCTCCGTAGTTGACTGATACTATACAGATACCAAAGATTCTACCTCTTTGCTCACAAACTATTGCAAGCCAAGCCATAGAGAGGCAAGAACTCAAGGCTAGAGGAGCTTTGCATAATACTATCATCTCAAGAATTTTGGCTATTTCAAGAAGATACCCCGCAAGTTTGCTACTACCGCAACTCCACAAGTAGCCCAAATATTGAGTTCATTCGCCAAGTCAACCCCTAAAGCTACAGCGTTCCTACTAATCGAACAAAAGGAGCAGCTTTGCCAGACTTTGTGCGTCATGTCATCAGAGCGTCAGAGCAAGGAGCCCTGCGGCGCAGGGCATGGCGGCGAGGAGCTCACCGAGGTGTGGGGCTCGTAGGGGTGGTCCTCCTCGAGGTGGGCGCAGAGGGACGCGATGTCGTGGTCCTCGTAGCAGTAGGGGCAGGCCACGTCCGGCCACGTCGCCTCCTCCAGCTGCATCTCCAGCTCCAGCTCCATGCCCTCGCCATCATCCTCCATCTCCATCTCCACCTCCTCCATTCCAATCCCCGCCATATCTGCGCGCCCAATCCAACGAATCAAATCACAAATCAGCAACAGCAACAGCAGAAAGCCAAACAAAGATTCGAGGGAAAAGTCGAGATGGCCGCATACCGTCGACGTGACCGAGCTGCGCCGCGTAGAACCGCTTGGCGGCGGCGAGGCTCGAGATCCAGTGCTCCGAGTCCATGATTCCCTGCTGCTGCTGGTACAACCACCACCCCGCGTTCGAGCTTAAGGCTAGACCCCCTCTCAAGCTCCCTCTTCAGCCTCCCTAATATACCGGTTCCGTGCTCCGAGTCCGAGTCCGTCTCCCTCACCTGCTCGAGCTTCGTCGGATCGCCGATCGAGTCGGACCTGAATGAATCGGAGACTTTGCCCTCGGGAAGCCTCTCGTGATTTTCTCCGAAGGGTTGTTTGTTTCTAATCCCTCACCCTCCCTCTGCTTAAGCCTTGTGGAGATTTTTTGATGGAGCGGCGGAGGAAGGGAAAGAGGAGGAGGAGACGGCGAAGCTTCTTATCGGAAAGGCGAGGAAGCAGCAGCGGGTGGGAAGAAATGGTGCGCGCCGTGGGATTTTTTTTATTTTTCCTTTCCTTTTTTTTTCTCTCTCTTTTCGCTCCACCGGCCGCCGTCCGAGTCAGCGCCGGGCGTGCCACCAAACGGCAGGCGGGCTCCGGCCTCTCCTCCCATACCACACGCCACGCCAATGACGGGTGGGGCACGCGCGCGCGCGGGCCCCGGTTGTCGGTGGACGTCGTGCGTGTCGCGGTGATCGCGTCCCGCGGGAAACCGCGTGGGTGGGGTGGAGGGACGCGCGGGCGGTAGCGGTGGTGACGCGGGCGCGGCCGTGCGGGCGGGTGCGGGTGCGCGTTGCGCGTGTGGTTGGTTTCGGTTCGTGGGGGGGATCGCTTGCGCTTGCGGGGTTGGGGTGGAGGTGGAGCCGTGCCCCGATTGCCTCGCGTGGGGGAGCCCTTTCGTTTCTTTTTTGGTGTGGAAACGACGGCTCGGCGCGGCGATTCGGTCGAGCGGACGGCGGGCGAGGGGGGTTGGCTGGCCGGTTGGGTACTTTGGGTGGGGGGGCGTGGGGTCGGTCAGTGGGGCGGCCGCGCGGGACCCCCGCGGCGCACGGGAGAAATCCACGGGAAATGGCCGCAAACGCGCGTTTTTCTGCGTGGCGTCTGTCCTCTGTCGTCCTTCACCTGCTTGTGTCGCTGGCGCCGCCGTGGGACGTAACACGGCACGGTTTTTAGAAGGCCGGTTCGTCGCGGCGGCATCCGATCCGAAACGCGAGAATTCGTTAAGCTTTTGGTTCGAGAGAGAGCCAACAACCAAATTGAGCCGAGCAGGTTGGCCGGTATGCGCAAACGACGCGCAGGGTATTACTTAAAAAGGATTAAAGGTTGCTTAGAGCGTTTGAATAACTTCTTCTCTGGACAGGACCTTGACTTGATCGATTTTTCAGCTACCCTAATCTGATGGGTTCAACCTTACCAGATTGGATTATTATATTAATATGACGACTCAAAACGGTCTTTGTCCTATAATAGTTGTTGTATGATGAAACGCATCAATCGTTGTACGGGTGGTTGTGCAGGAGTAGCTCTAATTCTCGTCATCATTGGGCAACAGAAGTTGCTTTTGCTTAGTAGCACCTTTGTTCCCAAACATTTGCCACCAGCTGTTATTTCTATTCAGATTTTGACGGATATATTTATTTATAGTACTGCAACAAATCTATCAAATTTTTTAATAAATTAACCACTAAGGTACGTTACATGCTAAATGTAACCACCTGATTTGTGTACATCAAATATGATTTTTATAGTCAAAGTTAAAACAACATATATCAATGGTGTCAAGCACTCTCTCCATTACAAAATAACTTGCATTCAAAATTCATTTCAAAATAAGTGATCATTTTTTAAGTATGTACTAGTAAATAGTAGAGAAACGTCTAGGGGTCTTTGTTCTAGCTCCACAAGGTGGTGGGCTAGTCGGTCTGGGTTTAAAGCCTCCTCCCTTCTAATTATTTGATACTAGGTCATTTCCTAATATTCACGTTTTTTTACTAGTAAATAGTAATGTGGAGGTATATATATAGTACATTGAAAACTTTTTTCTCATAAGAAATAAACAAATATGTTTTCCTAGTAAAAAGTAATGTGGAGGTATATATATAGTACTACATTGAAAACATTTTTCTCACAAGAAATAAACAAATATGTTTTCAGATTCTTTTCAGCTTTTTCACCGAATCATCATCGTGGTCTCGTGGATTATAAAAGAACCTTTTTTTAGTCACTTATCCCTCCTTCCTATTTCCTATATAGTTGGTACCCACTAGAGTATTTACTCCTATAAAGCTTGCTCCATATTAATCCACGTTATCAGCACCTTTAAATCGTTCAATCTAATCCCATGGTTTTTTCTGACGGCACGTTACATCGGCTTAATACTGAACGATACGTCATCGGCAACCCAGCCGATCGGCTGTTGTTTATAGATTTAACTTTGTTTCATCTTTGGTTTCTTGTTGGTTGCAGGATCAAACCAAATAGCACGCTCAAAACTCGAAAGCAATTCTTTGGACCTGCACTGGAGCTAAGCAGAACTCCCAGTGCTTGTTTTTTTCCATCGACACTAGGATAATTAGGTACTACTATGTCCTAAAAATAGACAAACCCTACCTATATATCCGATGGATTAGGGTTTTTTTTTTACATTACATGTGCATACTTCAAAGCATATCATGTATGAGTATTTTCTAAATATATTCCTTAGGTACATGCCTAGAAACTCCAGTCTATATATCCGACGTCGCAGGGAACTGGTTGCCTCTCCTCCCAACACATTTCTTCATTGATTTTCCTGTCAACGCTACTCCAGCTGGATTTGTCCAATGCAGAAATGCAGACAAATTAAGCACAGAAAAAAAAAATCTGTACGTCCAGCATCTAACCTCGTATCGACAGAACAAATGATTGCACCATTGCCACCCGTAAAAGAATAACAGATGACTAAAATTTCATTTCTTGCACAACCTATTGATTGCTAAATCATTAGCTTCGCCTTCGCGCCTCCCTACCTTCACTTAATTACAGGCAAAATCTTCCTCCATCACATGACTTCGCATGATGCGCGTAGCCGTAGGCTTCTCCAAGCGTATACCCAGCAGTCCAGTACCTAAAGCATATAATAATAGATGTAACGAAGCAAGAGATTTTGTAACAATATGTAAAGGCAACCATTCAGGTAAACTTGGTACTTTGCCTTGGCACATTGTACGCATCAATCCCAACACCTTAAACCAGCAAAGTACAGCTTCACACTACCCGGTTGTTTGGGCAGCTCGGCTACGCCGAAAATCAAAAGAAGCATGCAGTACTGAACATCAGTACTACATGCCTATCTATCACACAGACCTCTGGTCCGCGTCTAGCATTTTAACCACAAGGGCAAGTAATGCCCACTAACAGTACTTGATTCAGACATCTATTGGAAATTTAGGGATAACGGCATAGGACGCTAAGGCCTCTACTGGCCAATCTTAGTCGCTGTACTCCGATGAATACGAGGAACCGCCTTCATCTTCATCAGCATTCGCCTCCACACCGTCACCACCGTCACCACCATCCTCACCATCATCACCTATATCATCATCCTCGTCCATCTCAGCATCAACATCATCAACTGCACGGTCCGCATCATCTTCCTCCCCATCATCATCGCCCTCCACATCTTCATCCTCTTCTTCGCTCACATCATCATCTATCATGCCATGGGGCCTGGAGCCACCAGAATAGCCTCTAGAATAATCTGGAACCTGCTCATCATATTCCTCATCCATGGGTTGGCCATTTTCCTCATTATCTTCTGATTGATCTAACTGAGATCCAGAACTGTTCTCATCACCATCAATATATGGCCTTCTGTTCTCCAAGCCCCATTCATCAGCACCTGAGCTCCTTGGAGACTCCTCAACAGTGGCAGCCTTTGCATTGCTAAGCATGCTAAAGCTCCCCAACAAATTTTCCTTGGGAATTGATCTGCCTTTGCCCTCAGATGGTTGCCGTGACCTAACAGTTCGACGTCCTCGCCCACGACCACGGCCACGAGTACGCCCTCGACGAGTGTTCTTCCTTGAGGCTTCATTTTCATCCTTAAATCCAATCCTAGATGAGATGCTAATACCTCTTGGGACCCTTCCACCTCGACTTCGGCCTCTGCCTCCCCTGCTACCCCCTCTACTTCCTCGTCCACGACCCCTACGGCCACTACCAGTAGCCCACCTTCCATCAAAAAGGTCTAAACCGGTTGTTTCCAGTGGATCTAATTCTTGTGCATTCTTAACAGCCACAAACCTTGATGGAGGCTTCTGCACAAACAGAGGAAACAATTTACAAACTGAAAGGAAACTGATGGTAGCATTACAAACAACAAAGTGCAGAATGTACAAATAAATCATAATCTCTAACATATGACAACATTTCATGGTTTAATTGTATAAATGCAGTAGCCGGAGAAGTTAACAGACAAACTACAACATCTAGTACATATGATTACCAGAGCACAGAAACTTTGAGGTCTAACATGAAAACTTACCATGAAATCTCCACCATTTCTCTCCATCTTTTGATTTTGCATGTATGATACTGCTGAGTCTAGGTCTAACATTCGTAGTGCAATCGCAGCAGTAGTGTCAGGAACCCATGGAAGTACAGCAGCAGATCCAGACAATCCAACATGATTCTGGGATGGATTATCTTGTGTGTTCAAGTTAAGCAACTCAGATGTTGTTTCAAATTCTGAAGATAGGTGGTCCCGTTTTATTGCGGCTTCCAGCAGTGTCAACATCTACAAGGAAGTGAAACAACATCAGCCGTGATATTGAGGTGCAAAGCTGATAAATGAAAGAGGTATCAAGGGTCAAAGGCAAAATAATATGTATGTGATCCATGCATCTGTACAGACAATCAGATATACTGACAAACACACAAGTATCATACTGTCATAACATGAATCATATAAATAAGGTAAAATTGGTTCTATAGCATCGAAAGTTCTTGTTTTTGTTTTTATAGCATCGAAAGTTTGTGGTTCACTTCAATAGCATCAAAAGTGATCTCCGTTACTTCTTTTAACACTCCGTTAGAACTTCCGTCACTTATTCCCCCTTGCCCCTACGTCTTCTTCATCCTCCATGGCACAGCGGTAGGCGAGGTGTAGGATGGTGTAGTCGATGAACTCAGCAGCGGCAGCTGGCACGGTCTATTGTGGCTGCGGGAGCGAACTCGAGGGTGGCTGCAGGAGCATGTTGGAGGGCGGCAGTAGTGGAGTTCGATCTCAGGGAGAAAGAGACAAGGGCGGAACCATGGTCCCGTGGAGGCGAGATGGCCTGGAGCACGGAGCTGTTAGATTGAGCATGGTTGATGCCAAGCTGTTGGACTTCCTCGCGCACTAAGCATCTAGCGTGGAGGAAAAAGGCGGTGCTTCCGACCACGGCCGATTCGAATGATCCAGTGAGAAAAAAAAATTCCAATTATTTCAAGGGGAAATGCTCATGAGGGTGAGAGGATGCAATTTGTGGAAATAATTTTATTTTGGTTGAGGGAAGATCGAGTAATCAACGTTGGAACAGGACACATATAGATCCTTCCATTCTTCTCTTCCAATAAATTGGGATTGCTCCGCTGCTGTCTGGGCAGGAATGCAGCTCGACATTGTTGCCTTCCTGTGCAGGGTGAAGCAACAGGTCCTCATGGACCGTGTACTTCCATCTGTGGCATCGGCATGTGCCCAGCCGAACCAACTGCAGTACCACCATTCATTCGAGCTTGAGAATGTGCAGACGTGCAGATGGTCGAGCTCGTCAGCGTGCTGACAGCCACAAGCTCGAGCCTCGAGGATGGCATCCGGTTGGCGTTCATTGGAGGAGGAAGAAGAGAAAGGAGAGGGGGGCTGGAGGTGGAAGAAGGAGAGGGCACGGCTGGTATTTCACATGTTTTTTTTTAAAAAAAAAGGAAACCGATGAGATTCTAACAGAGTTGTTGACGGAATGCTAAATATGAGAAACAGAGCTAACTTTCGATGCTATTCTAGTAAGCTGTGAACTTTCGATGCTATAAAAGTAAAAATGGGAACTTTCGATGCTACAGAACCAATTTTGCCTATAAATATACCCCCGTAGTATTAGTTTTCAGAAGAAGGAAACAGAAAGAAGATACAAGAAAGCCATCAATAAATTGTAAATTCTTAAAGAAAATGGTTGGCGTCTTTCATCCTTGGGACTGGTAGTTCAATATATTAATTCAAATCTGCAGTAAGGATGAAAATTACATGGTTTAATCAACCATGTGCCTGGTCAATTTGATGGAAAATCCCGCATCATAAAATGATAACTAAGGTGAGACAAGCTATTTTAGCAATTCAACATGTATTAACAAAGAATGAGGTTGTTCTCAATTGATTCTTGTTTGAGGTTGTTTAAGGCCTCAAGTCAACCATGTAATCCAGCTATTTATAGCCAGCAAATGTTCAAGTTTGCAACCAAAGGTAATAGATGTATGCCAGTCAAAAAGGAAACTGGTTTAACTAAAGGAGAGCAAATCCAGAACCTGAAATATTTCCTCCAACGAAGTTGTAGAGTGCAACTTCACACCCCAAGATTTTCGATAACCATCAGTCCAAAATGGTTGAATTGCTTCTGGTGGAATAGAAGCCTGTAAACAAAAATATTAACACGTTTCCAAACAGTTCAACTGGTAAAAGAAAAAAAACAACTTAGAAGCAGGTGACAAACATAAAACATGTTACTTGACCTCAATGGTTGATAACTGCAATTTGAGCAATCTCACTCCTATAGGAACAGAATGATCTGCAGTTTGCATCTTCCAGTTATGATCAGTTCTTAGCTTATCCTTGCATTGTGATGCGTGGTCAGAAAAATTGTGAATAGATTTAAAATTCTTGTGGCAAGAAGAGCAGTGCCTTTCTTCAGCCAAGTAAATCTGATAGCAGTAATTACAAGAATGCATCAACTCAGAGCATCTTTTCTTGCCATACTCCATGGCACATGTCAATTTGCAATCATTGCATTCCCTCCACATCCATCTTATAAAGACATCTGCCCTTTTTGAAATAGCAGTCTTCTCAACATCATTACGCCCAAGCTCTATTTTGAAAGAATCTGAATATGCTATAGCACTATCAGAAGTGACACCAGAAAGATTACTGCTTGGGCTTCCAAAATCACTACGATAACTTGCCCTAATCATTTCCGTAGCTCCATTCTTTAGATACCTTCCAGCGGATTGTTCTACAACTGCACTCTTTTTCCTCTTAATAGCCTCCTTAAAGGTTGGTTCGATCCTTTGTAGCATTGAATGCAATTGTGCTTCCCTGCTGCCACGTGTATCAAGGGAAGCTACTAATGAATCAAATGCCTGCATTTTCATTAGATACAATGTCCAAAGTTTAGAGAGCATGCGATTTATGTACAGTTCTGGCACAAAATGCTGCTCATTATGCAAAAAAAAACATTGACAATAGATCAATCACATTTCTACTTAATGAGGTTATCATGAACTACACATCCACTGTAATGCAAAAGCATGAAGAGCAGGCACTTGTGGTAAAAAAAAATGCAGATAATCTCCGTAACAATATTATGCATGTCTTAAACTCAAAACTATAAATAGCTCAGTGTGAAGCCCAAGTACAAGGGAATTCACCATTTGGTGGCAAAAACTGGCATAAGGTTTATATTTCAACAAGCAGTTGCTGTTGCACTATGTGTAGTTTAAGACCAGAGGGCATTATGATATTAGATACCAGTATGGAGCATGTGGACATGTAATTGATTCACAAATTCATATGTTTATCAAGAAACATGAATCTGGTACAATCCTCATAAGTGCATGGAGCATGCGGACATGTAATTGGTTCAAAAATTCATATGTTTATCAAGCAATGTGAATATGGTACAATCCTCATACGTGGATTAACACATTGCATTCGAACAATTATAGCGTATAGAAAAAGATAGAAATACAAATTAGCATATCAATCTAACTTGCAGTTTCAAGGACATCCAAAATGTAAATGACAACTTATTTCTCTTGTAATATATTTGTAAGACACGGGGAAACTATAGTTTCATGGAGGCATTTTTAGCGATAAGCCGATAAATCTACATGTACCATTTCAGTATGTCTAATACAAATAAATATTCATGATTCACTAAGGTTGACGTCACATAGTCGAAAATGTGACATTATTTTTACTCGAGAGCAATAATAGTAATCAAGTTGAATCAGTAGATATTTAAAAGAAAAGGCTACCTCCTCTGTGTCAAGAACCCTCCAGTATCCATCTCTGCACTCAAAAAAAATTCGTCCTGAACCAGGGTCATTTGGTGATGCAGAAGTTGAAAACTGCCAATATCGGTTTCGTCTCCGATCCTGTCCTAGGGGCAGCGATCTATAAACAAAGAGCTGCTCTGCTCTATGACCAATGTATGCTCTCAACTGAGACCGTGTTTTATCAGCATAAGCATACTGCTGAACTGACAAAGTATCTGGTGTTGCAGCTATGTCCTGCCCTAAACCATTCCTCTCATAAGATGCATTAGCTGCATTACTGTTATGGTCAATTATCTCATTATTATTATTATCCACAACCCCTGTATTTCCATCATTATGTTTATCAACATTATGAAATGGAGTTGGAGTACTCTCAGTAGCATTTTCTTGATTTACATCAGCCTTCAAATTCATGTTGGAATTATATTGCACTCTGCCAGCAAACTCTTCCTTGGAACGCCTCTTATCAAGTTGTGCCTCTGCCAGCATTTGTTTTTTTAAGGCATTTGCTGATTCCAGACGTTCCTGAAAGACAAGTGATCAGGTGTTATCCAATGAGAAAAATAGCAAAGATTGAAGGATATTTTAAGTAAGATTATTACCTCCAGCACAGCACGAATAAAGTTTCCTTCATTGGCAACACTAACAAGTGCAACCAGGGCATTGAGGCGTTCTTCGACACTAAGATCACAATAGTCACCTTCTGCTAATCCGTGGACCCAAGATTCACCTTGGTTACTTTCATCAATCTCCTTATCTTCAGCATCAGTAGGAGGTACTTCATGGTACTCTGATGAGGCTCTGACAGGTGAATCACTAGAAGTATTTGCTGAACTGGGCTTGCCTAAAGAAGGCTTGGGAGCCTCTTTTCCAGATGTAGTAAGATCACTCGATTGGGTTAATGCATCCACTTTTTCTTTTTCCCTCTTTGTGCTATCTACTATAGTTGTAATCGGTACTCCATCCTGTTCTTTAACACCAATAAGGGGATCCTTGCCATCTCCTACATCAATATTCACATCATCACCATCAGGATCATCATCAGCATCATCACATTCAGAATCCTCATCCCTCTCGGCATCATTAGCCTCCTTTTCAGCTTCAGAGTCAGAAATCACATTCTGAAAAGCCCTAATTTTTTCACGTGCTGATGACAGCACAACCTCAGAATCAGCTGGATCTTTTCTATAAGGGGACTTGACACAGTATGTTGAAGGAGCAGTTCGCTCAAAAAGTTTTGTATCCCTTGACAAGGCAGCAGCTATAGATGCCTCAGGCGTCTTGCTTGTTGTGAGGTCTCTCAATCCAGATTTCTAAACATAAAAAAGAGTAAATTCATTCAACTATAGAACAAAAAGAAGAAAATCACAAAGCAAAATTGAGCTAGCATATCTGTGTGGAAACAAACCTGGATTCTTTCTGCAACTTCCAATATCGTGAGACCTTTACTTCCTTCAAGGGACAGCACATGGAAAGCAGCAAATTTTACGGTACCAGGAGTGAGACGGTGCCGAGATCTACGGCGATGGGTGTAGCCTCTTTCTTTCATCAAAGCAGCAGCATGCACAGCTGCTGAACCATTTCGGAGGGTGGATATGACGTCCTGACCATCATGACCCTGCATCAAATTTTGTACTGATGTCAACAGAACTCTTCAGGATGTTTTTGGTTATAAACAGATAGAAATATCATTAATGCTTTGAGCAGTTAACTAGTTGGTGGCTAATCATCCCCTGAAACCTCTGACTTGTTTTGCAGGCCAAGTTCGGCAGGAGATTACTAGATGTCTGAGTTGTCGGCTATCCTGAACTGGGTAGGCAACTTGCTGCCTGGCAGCTGTGGCCCATTATCAAGCCATCAAGGGATAGAAGAGACCATGAGGGTCTTGCTTCAGTGAGAGATGCAAGAGGGAGCAAGGACATGACAGCGAGAAATGCTGTTGCCTTTGCAAGCCCAGAGGTTGGCCCTGATTCTGCTCCTCCAGTATCATTTGCCAGTCCCCAGCACTGCCATCCACCAGAGGAAGCTGTCAAGTTCACTTGCCAGATACTAGTTAGTTTCCAACCCAGATACTAGTTAGTCCCCAGCACTGAGGCAGATGTGTGATGCCTTTGTTGGAAAGCTGGTGATCCCAGTGGTCTTTTCTCTTTTGTTTTTGTATGAACTTGAACAACTTTGGGCTTGTTTTCAAACCAGGTTATATAATTACCTGACTTCAACATAAAAAAAAGTAACTTCACGAATGATATTATTGGACCATCTTTGTAATAAACAAGTGAACTCTGACTAGGCTTGTCCGCAATCCAGAAGTTGGAAACTCCATTAACAAAGAATCCATGGATCCATCAGAAAAAATCTGATAGGAGGATCTCTAGGCAGAAACTAGAACCGAGGTCTGAAGGAGTAGATCCGGGTAAATCTAAAGAACTTTGAAGCACACCAGACAAAAAGAATATACCAATTTTTTTAAAAAATAAAATAATCCTTATCTGCTAATAAAAGCACCTTCATTAATTAATTATTTGAAAAAAAATAAACTCACCAATATTTGACCGATATCACTCATCGCCCTACATTCAGTACACTAAATTTCAAGAATCACACTATACAATAGGACGCAACCTTAGTACTGCTGACTATATCCCGGTGGCCCTTTTGAATCTCAGAAAACCGAGCATCATACAAAGTATTAGATGCAGAGTACTCACATGATATTTTTGGATCACTGAGATAAACCAAATATCATGAAAATTTTCAATATGGAATTATCTTATAGAGCGAATAGATGTATATAGTATGAGATAGTGTAATACCTCATTATCATCTCGATAATAAACATCTTCAGCGTTCCTTTTCTTTAACTGAGGCCCAAAACCAGCAGATAAAGCAAATTGTCGTAATATCTCAGGCCAAGTAAGAACATTCAGGTGGCGTTGCCAGCTTCGTATATTGAACCCCCAAGCGTATGCCTATGAAAACATACTGAAGCTTTTAAGCATAGTAGCACACAGAACAAAAGGAAACTAAAAGATAAAAAGCTAGAGGTTTTGAAAAAAAGACAAATGCATGCGCACCCCTTCAACAATTTGTGGATGACCACCTGCTGGATTCACCGCTAATGCAACTGATGGTGTTCGGGAGACATCCTCAATATCCTTTATGATGGATTTCAGCAGAGCAATGTGCAGTTCCCCCAACAACCTTGAATCCTAGTAAAGAGATGAGAAGATCAATCAGGATAAGCATAGTTAACTGCTAAAAATTTACATAATTCAACATTAGCAGTCCAAAGATGACATCTTTCAAGACTAAAGCTAAATGCTAACTACAGATAGTCCAAGGTAACAACAAAAAACTAGAATGTACATAGTCCAAGAACGTTGGTAAGATAACATCCAGTGTCTTATGGAATTGGACTTAAACAACTTAACAACCCAAGAGATACAAACATACATAACACATAAACTGCATGAAAGTCCTTCATAGTACAAGTGTATAACTTACATATTATTTGGAAAAAGAATGTGTAAATTGACTAGTAAACAAATTCGACACGAAATAATCCAACAAATAGAAGAGATTGTGTAAACTCATATTCATATGTATCCACCATGGTACTTATTCTCTTGATTCGTGGAGACAAGCATAACATTAAAATCAATCAAACAACCTAGTTATCCAGCTCTTAATCACATCCAACAAAGATATTCTCACCTTTTACCATTATGATAATAGTAAAGGACAAATAGATACATAATTCCTCCCCAAATTAAAAACTTACATAATCATGAAGAGACTGAACAAATTCATCAAATGTAACTGAAGAAAGCCCGAGAACATCAGCAAAAGTAATCGAGAATTTCCACACCTGTAATGCAGTTAGCATTTAGCAACAGTTTGTCAGTTTCCATTAAAAAGAACATTGAAAAACACACTAGAATGGAATTATGCAACTCAGAATAGGATGCAGCATTTACCATCTGTAAAGATGTACTGAAATATAAATAGAACAGATCATGTAAATCTGTTACCAGATTTAGTGCATGAAATGAAACTAAATTTTCAATTAGCACTAGAAAACCATAAGGAAACGTCTCTACTCTCAAGTGTCATCAGAGCAAATGTCTTCTCAACAAGAAAGAACTAATAAGGCCATAAAAGACTAGTTTGAAATTTTTTAAGAAGATGGATTGCTGCAATGTGCATCTGTATAAAGTGAAGCAACACCTCTCCTATAGACCTGATGAAGTGATGCTAATGTATCAAAAAGGTCTATTTGTTTATCCATCTGCATGGACAGAATATGAGTCTACAAGCAAGATAGTTACATTTATGATTCCAAGCAAATAAAAGCAGTAAGGTCAATTTTTTTTGTAATTTAGCATCTAGTGGAAAATAAAATGTGCAAATCAACGTTATGGCTTCTTGTGGTTACACTGTCAACTCACACAACTTTTAAGAACTCAGATCTCTTTCACTGAATATCACAAAATACTACAAGAAAGGAATATATCACAGGTTTACCATCAGAAGGTTCCCAACATTATCCTCAGATACTGTCCAAGGCTTTATCGAAAATGGCTCCTTCAGTCTCACCGGTTCAGGGGGGAATGGAGTCAACATGCCTGGATGAAGGGAATAATCAATCAATAATCACAAAGTACCACATTATTTGGTTAAACTTCAGATATTCGAAACTGTTTACAACAGAATTTTCACTACCAAGCAAATGTTAGGCAAAAGTAGAAATGGCTGAGCTATTCCTCCAATCACTACTAGCTAGGCATCATTTAATTTGAAGCAGCTGTTAAGGCAACAAATTTTAGATTACTTTACCCAAAACATCAAGATCCAAGCATGGCCTAATAGTGTCACCTATTACATAACACAGTATTCTATTTTGATTGTGCATGTATTTCTACAGATCTGTTCCATATAAATACTAATACATTGTTTTTCATTTCAGTCTGGTTATATTTACTCTATTAGGGATGCACAAGAAACTGAAACAATTCTCACAAAGCCACTAGCAGTGAACTTTTACTTTTGGCACATTGTAGTACTAAGAAAGTCTAAATTTGGTCAGAATACCTCTAAAGGAATCAAGCTGCTGCAATGTGTCACTATCAAGACTAAGCATGGATGGCAACCCTTTGCTCTGTGCAGCCAATTCCATTAGTTCTAAGCACTCATCTTCCACAAGTTCCATGTATTCCCGTGCAATTCTGCGTGCTGTGGCTCTTTCATTGGCAGCCTTTTGCCTTGCAGCCTCTTTCTCCTTTCGGAGCTCCTCCTTTTGCCTTTGCTTCTCTGCCTGCACAAATATAGGCATAACATTATATTACTAAACAGTGGTACTGGCATAGATACTACACTGCATTGCAGTTTACATAATATGAATTTGAAAACTAACTCGTCTAGATTGCTTCTGCATAAACTTCTCCATACGCTCATGTTCACGCCTTTGCTCTCTTAGGAACCTCTCTTGTTCTCTCTGCCTCTCACGCAGCAATCTCTCCTCTTCTTTTCTTCTCTCACGATCATGTCTCTCCATCTCCTTGCGCATCTGTTCCTCTCTCTGCAAGCATAAACTGTAAATGACTTCTAATCGAAATACATTAAGATCTAATGATCTGCACTAATAATAAGCCATACCTTTCTCTTCATCATGTCTTGTTTTTCAAGCTCCTTCCTAATTCGTCTTTCATGAGCTTCAACTTCCTTTGCAATTTTTGCTTCCTCATTGTGCTATGGCAGATGGTAAACAAATTCAATATGTCTATAACTAAGATTTAAGGATATGAAGAAAGATGCAAATATGACTATATGGGGTCAGAGGAAAACATACTTTTCGCTTTCTATCCACTCGAGAGCCGTCTTCATCATGATAGGCTCTTCTTTCAGACGGTAGAAGTGAGTTTTCAATTCCAGCAACCTGAGAAATACCATACTGGCCTTCGACTGGAACAGAATTAAGGTCGCTATTGGACTGAATCATCTCGTAATCTGTTGGTACTGCTGGAAGCACCTCACGCCTGCCTGATTGAGGCAAATGGCCAGAACCAGACATTTGACCTTGGAAAGCATAACCAGGTGCTGCCTCATCAGATCCACGGAGAAGATGTGATCCCGGGGTATGCGATGACATCCTCGAATTCGATGCTTCAACTGGAGTGTCATAATAATGAGATCTGCTTGCTCCCTCATGAGATCTGCTTGCACCCTCATACCTATCACTTGGCTGTTCAGGAAGAAATTGATACTCATGGACTGCCCGTGATCCAGCATGAGGGTGAACTGGGGGCAGATTACCAACCATTGACTTTTTTTTCCCAGCGATCGAATTTGGAACAAAAGGGTGTTCCACGCTGGGGAAGAAAGCCGAGGCCTAAGGGAAAAAGAGGAACAACAAAATATTAAACGAGGTATGAAGAAATCAAGAGGCGAAACTCAAAACTTATAAGAAAACAACGATACCAAGAGTACGCTCAATCTCAATTCTCAAATACAGATCTCTGCAGCGACAAGCTAATTATGAAGATAGTAGCACGGGGGCTCACCAAGAAGACGATATAAAAGGGCCAAATATAAATAAGGCAAAAAATCAATAGGCAAGTGTGAATGGAATAGACAGCTAGCATTTCCGTTATAAAAGGCCACTGGAACCACGAAAGGAGAATCCAGGTAATGCCAGATGAGCAGAACTAATGCATGCACACAAACGTGGTGTTATTTCCCTTTTTATAAGGCGAATATATGGCGTTAACAGGACATGAAACACTACAAGATAATTGTGCCATGCCAATGTGTTGGCAGTTTGGCACCAACTCACACCTAATGGCCTTAAAACACGTGTTCCGTGCAGTCTAGTCTCGCAGCAGGGCAGGGCAGCCACAGGCCCACGGCAACCGTGCAGGGCCCCCCAAAATTTGGGCCTACCCATGCACTAAAACCAGTGTCTAGTTCATGTGGGATGCCGCCGCAACTCACAAGGACTACGGCATAGCCTACATGCTCATATTGACAAGCAAGGAAGACCCAGTCGGCCAAGCCCCAAAGCAAGATGCCAACCTAGTAGGCTAGCCTATGTGCTGATAAGAGCCTTCTCGTTCTACCCTCTTTATCCCAAAACAGATGACTAAAGGATGAGAGCCAGATTTTAAGGATTTTCAACCAAGTTGTCTATGATAGTACGATTCTTTCAATTCGCAATGACACTACCGGAGTCCCACACAGTCATTGCATATACGGTACCTCTCTCGATTCTTCTTCCTTGATTACCAATTAAATACCCCAGGAACACGGAACCAGCACTATAAGACAATATCCTGAACTTTTTTGTGATTTTAGCTTCAAACATCTCCATTAGGGTTGAAAAGGGTATAGATTAGCACTGCCCAATAATATCACGCTTTCCCCTACTTGACTGCAATCTAACTACTAAGCAACTTCCCATTAATTTTCTAACTGTTTAGGATCATGTGTCGTTACTACTGTTTTGAATGTAGAAATTACTTCCTGCGTTTTCCATATTCATGGCTCCCTGCAGGTGATAGATGATGGATTTCCTTTGTTCCTCGTGTATGGGGCAGGGGCCTCAAAGCACAGGTTAAGGCCTGATCCATAAGGGGCAGCTCCCCATCTACAGGGGACATGCTTTCGTGGCTTTTCTCGGCCCAGGTTTCGGGTGCTTCTTCTTAATTGAAATACCTCAGGGGAAGTCTTTCCCCTGGGGGCCGAGTTCTTTTACAGATGATGTTCTTCTCAATTAAGTTTCTTTTTTTGGTGGTGGTGGTGGGTGAGGGGGTGGCATGTTAACGATTTCCAACCAACTTGTCTACGATAGTACAATTCTTTTCATTTGCAATGACACTACCAGAATCCGATACATGGTATCTTTTCCCAATTCTTCTTCTTCGGTTACCTATTATATACTACTGTTCCACACTTCCACTGGAAGTCTGGAACACGACATCAGCACTATAAGGGAATATCTCATTTTTGTTGTGGATTTGGTTTTTGGTTTCAAACATCTGCGATAGGGTTGAAAAGGGTATGGATTAGCACTGCTATTTTTTTAGGACTGCCCAATTATGGCACATTTTCCCCTACTTTACTAAAATTTAAGTACTAAGCGACCTTCCGCTAATTTTCAGAAAGTGTTTAGGATCATGTGTTATTATTGCTATTTTCAATGTAGCAATTGCTTCCTGTATTCTCCATTCCATAGTCATGGCTCGCTGCAGGTCCTGGGTGGGGGATGAGTTCTCGACAAGCATGTTACAGTTATAGTCCCAAAAGAGTATTGATTATGAGCCTGTTTCTATGCATGTATGCAATTTTATTTTGCAGCTAAATGGAAAGTAATTGTATGTGTTTTTTCTTTGAATAAAGGGCATCCATTCTTGTCTCGCTCAGGACCTCTAAAATGTTAGGACTGGCCCTGGATGGGGGTGAAGCCATGAAAGGGGGTTTACATACAAACTGGGTAAAGCGGTTCATCATATGGCCAAATCTCCAAAACATTCTTATCATTTTAAAACTGCCAAGACATTTTAAAAGTTTTGGGTAAGATTACATTGTCATGGCAAAACATTCTGGGTAAGACACATGTCATTTCACTGCCATGACATATTAAAACTGCCAAAACATTCTGGGTAAGATTACATTGTCAATTCACTGCCATGACATTTTAAACTGAAGCAATGCTACTCCAAAAGGTAAGCACATAAAACCAGAGCGGGTTTATTCAATGGAAAAAACACAACACACTTCAAGTCACAAACTTACTTTTGGAAATTTCCTAAAAATATACCTTTAACAGCTTTGAATCATGCCTAGAATATATCTTTGTATCATAAGATCGCACATGCTGCTTTTGTTGCTCTGGAACTGTTCATAATACATAAGGAAAGGAATGTCAGCAATTAAAATTATATGAATAAACCGGTTACTATGTAAATGCTATGAACAGAGTCTACATAATACTTCTATTCACCAATAGATAAGCTCAGCAATACAAAAATTAGACTGCCTTTAAGCCAGGCTCATCTATTGTTTCCTAGTATAACCCTAGGCTGAGAATCGAGTGTAAAACCCTCTTTGGGGCTCTAGGCCCATCTTGCAAAAACACACTGGCCATTGGATGAGATTACAATAGATTGAACTTAAAGAAGCTTCATGTGGTGGGATCCCCATAAGTAAATTTCTCGATGCTGTTGGATGAAAATTATCATCCATGCAGTGTTCAAGACTCCTTAAATGTAACCCATCCAAGTCTCATCTAACTGTATGCATTCTGAGTTCCCATGATAGCATTTTGGGTTCATATTAGATGGAGCATGAGCACCAAAAACAAATTAGAAATAGTCAATATACCCCTGCCAGTTGTAGATTCAAATTTGAATCTGCTCCTTTTTTTAATATATATAGACCTTTTTAAATAATTTGAAACCGCTACGAAGTTCTTCTTTCTGAAATATACCATCAACGTGTTCCTCTGTTTCAAGATAAACCACAATGGGCCAAGACTAAATTGCCCCTTCTTCCACCCTCTCCCCTTAGTCCTGACAACCTTGTACAAACGGCCCCATGCACTTGACGTCACCCTTGCCCTCCTCTATATGCTCTCCTGGCCGAACCACCACTATGCCTCTCACTAACTCATTTAAGAGACTACAACCTGCCTCAGTCATCCCCTCTCCCTCCCAGTCCTCCCCTCCCTGCTTGTGGTAACCTCACCATGAATGCAGAGACAAAACAATGTGGAAGATTCACACAATGTAAATTAAAAAGAAGATAGCTAGAATACAGAAAAAAGGTAATTTTTCATGACTAACTACTACAAGAATGAGCAGTAGAAAAGCAAATGCACAAAATGTCTATTTTCATGTACTACAATGTGCAAAGTAAGTAGTTATTAGGAGGCTGTGCAACGATGGCAATAGAGAAGTGTAGCAATGCACAGGGAAGATGATAAAATAAAAGGTAAGAGACAATTGATGACAATGAGTTAGGGTGGATAGTGTTATAATCAGGGATAGAACTAATGTATATTTACTAGTATATACTATTCAATAAAGGCTAAAAGGAGCCATCAGGCTCACTTTAGAGGTACAGAATTAACCATGTTAATCATAGGCAAAGAGAAAGATTTATACCATTGATCATGGTGGGTTCATTAATAACAGTGTACATTGATCGCTGCAGATGCATGAACTGTCTAGCTCTCCAAAATTTCACACAAAGTTTCAGCTAGTTTTGTTAAACAGCATGGTAGCTTTTCAGTTTATTTAAAAATTCCTGCAATATGTCCTTTTTGCTAAATTAGTCATTGGGAATATTAACACTTTATAACATGGTCTTGCTAACATAGAAACTTGGCAACTGGCCAAATACTCAAAATTCACCTTTGCTTTTGAAACATTATTTATCAATCAATCATTTTTGTGCATCTTCGTAACAAGTCCAGTTGATTTTCTTTATTTAACTAAACAGTGTCCATCCCATAACATCCTATTGCGATTTCCCTACTTGCAGGAACAACAAGCAATTAAGTAAACAAAATTATTTGATTTCAACAACTGCAGAGCAAAACACAGTTGGCTTAACAGTACTATAAAAAGGTGACAGCCTGCAAAATATATATCACTAGCATTCAAGTTTGAAGTTTTAGCTTAATCCTACGAAGTGCAGGGTTTTGGGATGCATACCTATTGGTGCACCGAAGGAGCCAGGGGGAAGTGGATCAAAGTCAATTCCGAGCACCGGCCCGTCATCCCTCAGTGGCTCCCCAAGCTGCGACTCCACAGAATGAATCACCCGGAGCTCAGATGGCATGAGCTGCATCGATGCCACCGGTGGTGGCGGCAGCATTACTGGTAGAGGTTCATAATACCTCCGCCCAATATCTGGCGCAGATAACCTGGGCACTGCTGAGGACCGCCCTGCACCCCTTCGCGAGTGAACTGGGGGCAGCGGCGGCTCATCATACGGGCTACTAGCACCGATCAGTAGCTCGCCACTTGACAGCGGCAGTGCTGGTGGCGGCAACACTGGCGGAGGTGCCATCAATGGCACCGCTGCAGCTTCTTCCTCCCTCCGTTGCCGCTTTGTGGGGGGCTTCCGATCCTTCAGCCGCCGGTGACAGAACCACATTTGCAGCTGCCTGTCTGACAAGCCTATCTTCGCGGACAGCTCCGCCCGCAAGGTCTCCGACGGGTACTGCTCCACTGCACCAAACCAAAATCACATCCCCAAACACCAAAACCTCAATTCCCCACCCAAAAATCCTCCAAAAAAAATTCTCCAAACTTCCAAAGCCTCGCAAAACCATCAGAATCCACGCACCTGCATACGTCTTCTCGAGTACCTCAAGCTGGTAGGGGCTCTTCATCATGCGCTTCACCGTCTTCTCCCCGGAACCAGACGCGCCCGTGCTACCCGCTGACACAGCCGCCGCCGCCGCCGCGGCCGCAGCGGGAGGCGCCGGCGGGGGCGTCGACGCAGCCGAGCCCTCCGCCGGCGCCGCACCGTCCCCGTCGTCCATGGCCGCCGCGGCGATCGGAGACTACCTCCCCGCAAACCTAGATCCAAACTCCTCCTCCCGAGGCCACCGCCAAACAAAAGCACGGAAAAACTCCCACACTTTTCCTCCTCCTCCAGGGCTCGCTCGCGACAACAATGAAATGCCGCGCCCGCTAATATACACGCCAGCCCAGTAAAAGGCGATCCGATGTGCGGCTGGATCTCCGCTACCACCAACACCGATCGCAGCAAAAACAGCGGTAATAATTCCAACTTGAACACCACGAACAAGGCCAAAAAGGCGGCAGCCACAGCAGCCGCTGAGGCGAGTAGTAGTAGATAGATAGGGATATAATGAGGAGGAGATTGGGGAAACAGCAGGAACAGCACGGCAACAGGGAGAAGGAGGAGGAGAGCGGCTGCTACCACTACTACTACTGCCACCACTACTCGAACTGGTGGATGATTATTCATGCGCCTCCGGGATTGGGTTCCGATTTGGAACGCTTCCATTCTATGCGGCCGCGCTTAACACACACACTCCCCTCGCTCCTATAATAAAACCAAACCCTTTTCTTTTTCTTTTTGGCCTCCTCTCCTCAATCCAACTTCCCTTTTTATTTTATTTTCTTTTGCGTGACTTTTTTTCTCCTTAGCACCGGTACGAGTTCTGACGAGAGGAATATTTGGATGGGCAGAATAATTAGTGGTGGAGTGCTTGGATTTCTTGGGGGTTTGATCTTTGGGGGTTGCTTTTGTGCTTTTGACGAGCGCGGGGACGTTTTCTGGTGGGGGGAAATTGGCGCCGTATGGAGGGTGACGGGTTTGTTGGTGTTGGTGCGCGACCGCGCGTGTTCGTCGATCGATCGATCGATCGACTCTCTCGTGCAGTACGAGGGACGGAGGGAGGGAGGCGTTCGTTGGACGAAGCGTGGGGGCTAGATTAGAACTCGCGCGGGATCTTCTGCGGCGGATGGACTTGTGGCACCGGGCGTGTGCACGTGACAGGGGACTGTGAGGCCTGTCAGTGTCCGGGCTGATGTGCTTGGCGTACTGAACAGGGTTTTTGTTTCCTGGTGTGTGACAAGGGCAGTGATGAGTTCAGACAGTGGATTTAACGGGGGGATATCAACTTGAGTGGATGGGTGAGTGAGACTTGGTCGCGAGTCATGATGGTGTTGGTGAATTTATGTGTGTGTCAACTGTTAACTGTGAGCAGTAGCTCCAAGAGAAAATTTCCGCTGTCAACATGAATACTCCATCAATTCAAAATGCATAGTAACTCCGTCACATGAAGAACGAATCTATGATCGAATGTATTATCCAAATTTATAGTATTAGAATATATTATTAGATTAACTTTATGTTATTAGTTTGGTGTTAAATTTTGCCTACCAATCATTTGACAACTTTAATTGTATATACTACCTCCGTTCTAAAATAAGTACAGTCGTATATCCGTGTACCGTCCGTCTCATATGTAAAATTTATTACTTTTTTTAAAAAATAGTCACACATAAAGTACTATTCATATTTATAATCTAATAACAATATAAATACTAATCATTTTTTTTAATAAGACGAACGGTCAAACATTGGACATGAACAGTGTAAAACTACACTTATTTTGGGACGGAGGGAGTACTAGCCATTTAGATTGATGCTAACTTATGCCAAAATCAATAGAGTTGATATACTCTTGCCTAACAAAAAAAATTGGTAGTACCTAAACTTACATCTCGGTAGGGTTTTAAACCAAACATGCCCTATGTCTTAAAGCGGAGGAAATAAGAATTATGGTATCACACGTGAAAGGGAGAGTTTTCTTCAATACCTATGCTATACAATAGCAACTTAAAAAATAATACTCCCTTCATCCAAAAATATAAGGCATTTTAGATAGATGAGATATATCCTAATACTACAAAGTTGGATACTCCCTTCATCCAAAAATATAAGACATTTTGGATAGATGAGATATATCCTAATACTACGAAGTTGGATAGAGAGCCATATCCTTATAAATATGGATGGCCATATCCTATACAACTTTGACCACAAACCAAACACACCCTTATATTTTGGGGCGGAGAGAATACTATTATGAATATTAGTAGTGTTCAACACAGCGGCCCCTAGTTCCAACTGAAGATAGAGATGTAGAACAGAAACTAGAGTAAATAAACAGAGCAAGAATAGAAAAAAAAAGTAAAATCCATAGGCTCAAGCATCAACGGAGCATAGCATTCAACAAAAAGTGGTGTTTACTAG